CATTGAACATTACCCAGCTCTGGCCCAGTGGGATAGCGACCTGAGCGTTTAGTGTACGAGTCTTAAATTTAAATTCTACGCTTAAATTGAAAACTAGTTTGGTTTTCTCTTCGCTGTTTTCTATATTATATTTCTTATACGAGTCAGTTTGGGTTCTATTTTGTTATTAAATACATACTTATTGCTGTTTGGTTAACTGAGCATGGCCGGAATTTATCAACGTAAGAGCGCAGGAATTGAAAATATTTTAGTTTAGCCATAGTAAGAAAAGCATGGAAAAAGACTTGCTTAATTACAAATTTAAATTGCTTAAAATAAGCAAGTTTTAAGGGAACAGAAATATATGAATGTAGAAAAAATAAAGTAAAAAAGTACCCGGAGAGTAAAATGACAAAAGTTCAGTTTAGCGTATATTTATTAAAAAGTTACATTATTATATTTTCATTACTATACTTATATTCTATGTCTTTTCATACAGTAAATTCAAGCAAAAAGTGTATATTAGAAATGTACCGTTAAATTTAAAAAAATGTGAGAAGCACTTGAAGCTGTAATGATAAAGGACACACGAAACTAGTTATGAAAAACAATAATTAAAAAATAGTTAGGTTAKGATTCCRAGAACGGAAATCAATTATTACCAAACAGATCSTTTAGCTACACCAGACGCAAGAACACAATGTAAATGGCAACCGCCGAGATGTGTAAATGGCAACTTTAAGCTCTTGTTTATTAAGGGRTCCCTTATTTTTAGGCTCAATTGAGCAGGCGTTAGTGTATGAAAAATTACTTTTATCTACAACTGTTATACAATGACTATGATTTGGCACTCCTTCAAATGTCATAATGATGTTTATTACCGCACAAGTGCGGTAATTAAAGATAAATGTAATTCAGATATAAAAAAGTTAWATTTGTGACCACAAACTATGATTTCAATATCATTAAYAGCACAATATTTACTTATTTTCAAACACAAATGTSTAGCAWTTTTTTTTGGGAAGTCACGCTTAAGGTCCTAATGGATTTCAAACTAATTATCCCTCGTCTGCTAATGGTCTGTCTTTGCTTCTCGTCTGCTAAACGGGTAGGTATATTGGACGATGATTCAAAAGTTGCGTTATTTCTTTTAAGATGTACTGCAAATTACTTCGTAGGTACGGAAACATGTTTAAAAAAAATAAGTTTATTTCTTGAATATATTAGCTCCTGAAAACGAATTGTCCACTTTCCTATCAGTAATATTTTAATGTAGTTTATTGGTAACTTAAAAACTATTAATCTAACCAAAGATTATAAGAGAGCCAAACGCTCTTGTAAATAATGCAAAGCGATGTTGTGAAATGAGGTTCTAAGGTTAACTGGAGCAGTTCTGTGATGAATTATGCATTTCGGTGGTCAAATGCTTGTAACGAACGTTCACATTGATATGCAGGTTACTGCTTTGGGGACTCAATTGCAAAACCAAATTTTGAGATATTAAATTCTTCTTAACTGATTGAATGACGAATTTATAACTCATCAGCTAAATGATCTTTTTTATGTTGACTTTTTCACACAATATGTTGTTTAGCCTACCGGTAGTACCAGCCTACCCGTAAAACAAACAAAAATATAACAAACCGCGTATTCATAAAATCTAGTATCAACTGCGTTTTTTTATACATGTTTATATTTATTTTTCAGATTTCCTTGGATCAGAAGCCATCGAATGTTATAAATGCGCATTTGCTCCATACATTTACTTCACCAATGAATCATCTTTTTGTAAAGATTTTGACCATTCTAACAGATTCATAGTAGATTGCCCTTACTCGACGTTTTGTGTAAAAAAGAACACGTACGCTATTATTAACGGAGGTAAGGCTTTTCAGGGCATTTATTATCATAGGGTGGATCTTATAACTGAAATAATACTTTTAATTCATATAGACATTATTAATCGACAAAATAATTTTCAGTGTCAATAAATGGTACTGAAAGAGATTGTGCGTCCCAAAAACTTGACACGCAACGTTTAAGTAATGGTAAATGGCATCCTGAAACCAGAGTGGAAGAACCATATGAAGAAGGGTGTAAGGCAAATGAAGATAAAGGTCTGAGAACAGCTTATGTAGAACACTGCTATTGTAGAGGCGAATTGTGTAATTCAGGCAAAACTGTATTCGAATTTGGACTTTTTACAATTCTATTAAATTCTCTAGCTGTACATCAGGCTGTTGGCTTTATGTTCTTATAATAAATGTTTTCCTGATAATTATTAAATAAATTAAAAGACAAAGTGCATATAAAAATACAAAAGAATATAGTAAAAATTATGTAGATAACTTAAGTAGATAATCAGGTTTATATTATTATTAGTTTCTATATATGCGATTGCTTTGACGCAAGGCAATCACTACCAGTACAGCATTTGTTGGTATCGTGTTATCTTGAAAATGACAAAGTACACATTATCAGTTATGTTGAACGCATAATGTAACAATAAAAAAAATGGAATAAATTTAAATGTACATTTAAATCATACCAAACCCTTCATGTGTATATTATTGCGCTATACAACCTATACCAAGGCCTGGGTAGCACAGTAGATTTTCCGGTGCTTACACAGCGATACCGATACGGCGCACACTTTTTATGTGTTGGGGCATAGCAAAGGACAGTGTGGTTCGTAAGTTTGTTCGTAGGTTCGCTAGCGGTACTTTTAAGTAAGTGCGGGTCTACCCAACGCCGTAGTGCTTAATTCTTAAAATTTAACCTGATTAAGGATGGGTCAGCTTAACAGGTGTCGTAGGTGTAGGCGTTCTGGTGTTCGCACCACGAATCGAAAAAAAGCCACAGAAGGCATTTTGCCACCTTATTAAAGGATATTGTTGGGAAATGAGTAAACAAGATCTATTTGTCTCTTCTGCCAACCACATAAGTTAGTCTAGGGGGCGATGTGACAATTAGTTTTTTATTTCAAGTTGTATTTGTTTCTAGTAACTAAGATAATTGAAAGAAAAACAAACAAGACGTGTGTAGAAATAACGTTCTGAGCAATATACATTTTAATTTTGCCGAGAATCGGGTTTTAATTCGTCGGTTGGGTGCATTCATATACTTAAGTCGGTGTTGGAAGTGCCATCTCAGATAGGAACGCGCACGAAGAAGAAAATAATACAAAAATACAGTCCACTTAAACATTCACCGACAGATATGGTAAATAATTATGTCCCCACTGAAATTGCAATACTGTTCCGCGAGTTCTCAACGGTTATTAAGTATTTAAATTGAGGGTTTTTTTGTCTCATAAGTAAACTGGCTTATCCATCAAGTCCAACAGTTTTCCGATTCCCATATCGTTTGATGTCTCCATAATTTTCTTCTTTAATTTAAATTATTACGCTGGAACAACCTCGTGTCCCAATAAAACCTGAACAATCCTTATCATGAAATAACCCGGCTTGTGTTTAGATCAAAGAATCAAATAACGGTTCGTATCTGTCGCACTGGCGTCAAATTCTTATTTTTTTTGTATTAGGCAGGGTCTAGACTTGCTATATATCGCTGCTTTATAGCCAAGTTACATATCATTTTAATTATTTCATAATGAAATCTAGCAAATTTTCCTACTATATAACATGTTACATGCTATCCATCCTTTGTCGGTAAAGATCAAAGAAAATCGTACAACAATCTTATTGTAACATGTAGCAACACGTCCAGACTTGCAATATGCGGTTTTCATTGTTAGCAAACGTATAGTATACATCAGTGGCGGTCATGCAGTTTTCCTAGTTTTCTGTACAAGATGGAGTTAGAAAATGATCAGTGAAATAAAGAAAGTATTTTGAAACTAATAGAATTATGGAGAAAACGTGTAGAATTATGGGATACCCGTAGTCCAGTATTTAAATTGAAACTTCAGGTACAATTAGTGATATTAATTGTTTAGAAATTTTAAACAGGTACATTAAGCTTGGATACGAGTCTCTGCTAGCCAAAAACCGTAAAGTCACTGCCAGACGTTCCAAGATGGGTACTGCATCTCTCAATCGTGTGTCCATTTTGTGTATTTTGGACCAATTAGGGTTAATAGAGATTCAAAATCTGCATCACTGATTCTACAAAAATGTTGAAAGCTCCCCTTAAATGCTAGGCCATGATTTAAAACCCACTATCATCTGTAATAAGATAATGTAAAAAAATACTTCCACTATATATGTTTCTGGAAAAGACGAATCCAAAATCTTATTTTTCGATTTTTCATCTTTTTTTTTCGTCCTCAAAAATAATAACGTACGTCGCTGCAGCAAGCAGCGCTTCTGTTTCACCCCACGAGTTCATATCACTAACTTAAGTGTGGACAAAATTCAGTTATTTCCACATCTAGCATTAAAAAAATGTTATATGACAATGTTGTGCTACATGCTATCAAGTGTGGACCCTGCTTTAGGCCGCTTAGGCGTTAGCGACATATGGCAGAAATCATATGTTTATATGGATGGGCCGCATGCGCGGAACGAGAACATTCCGGTTCATTAATATTTAATTGGTAAAAGTTAAAAGATCCGAACTTCTGAATGTCACAATTTAACTATTAAATTACGTTTGTGAATTAAGAAAGTACCCATATACTTGTGACTGACTTAAACAGTGAAGGATAAAATTTAACGTCACGCACCCTTCCCTACGAATATACACACACGCGCACACAAGCGTCTGCTTATCATGTGCACGATTTGCTTTGCTTGTTGACAGCAAAATCTCCAGTAAGCCCGTAGATACATTTTTTGGAAAGAAAAAACAATTGATAGTTTTTTTCCGCTTACTCCTTATTATTTATTTTTATCCCGCTTATTATATTAACAATCATCTTTCATTTGTGTAATGTACCAAACGTGTAAATTTCAAATGGCGCGCGTTATGCCGGGTATTCTATATACGGCTATATATAAGCTATGAAAACGGTTGATTTAACAGCTTAAAGTGTAAATGCAAATTTGTAACTTTTAAAATTGTCTATCTAATGACGTATTAATATACAGGTACTTCCGTTTGAAAAACAAAAGTTATATTGCGTTAAAAAGATTTAGTTTTAAGTCCACATGGTTAACACCCTGTACACTGTGTTGATATTTTGGTTCAATAGAATTCTTACCGGATATGTGGTGATTGGAAAGACGTATTTTTTTGTATCACTAACTGTTAGTTTTTGCTTCTACAATGAATTTTTAGATACCATGTTTTTAACCAAAATTTTACTAAAATGGCGCTAATCTGCCAACGTCGCAAGTAAGAAAAAAGTTCTAGTTCTATTTAAAAAATACACTTTGATCTTGCCTCGCTTTTCTGAGACACTCTGTATGATATAAGATATTTTTAAAATGTGCGCACTTTGTGCGTCAACAACTTTGATATGAAACTATTTTTCGAAAGTTCAACACCATAGAAAATAATGGACTCTATCGCACTAAAAACCCACCCTGTATATCACTTACATGAATGCATAAAATAGGAATGTAAAAAATATCGACTTACCCTGTTTGAATTTTCCACCAAGCATAAAAAAACAACATCTTCTCTTTGAAGCCGCACTGCACTATGCAAAGGTAAATGAGTTTTGCTCTTCAGCATCTGATGCAGTAAGGGACCACTCATGTGTTCAAAGTCGGATGAATTCAGGTCATCCCAATGTGCAGAAATGAGACCTAAAAGACATTACAGTTAATTTATATTCACTTGACGAATGTACGTTTTTATTACCAGAACAATATTCCCTTAAACCAGAGGCATGGATTTCCTCAGCAACACTATAAAACTTGACGCAGTTTCGAATATTCACTGCCGATATGAGATATTGTTCGCAGTACTCGACGAGACTGTCCAATTTAAACTCATATGCTTTTTTTATTAGTTGCAAAGTTATTTCGTCGGATACCAGTCTAATGTCGCTCTAAAATAGACAAATGCTTTTAGATACAATATATTGCAATTCGCATCACATAATACCTTATACAACCATAAAATAATTCCAGTTGCCACCGCTGAATCTATATCTGACCAGTCCAGCTCCGATTTTCCTTCAAGGAACTCTTCATTCCAAAGTGTCGATCTTGCTGTAAGAACTATTTTGTGAGCTGGCACACATTTATCTGCAAGTAAAAGACAAAATATGATATTCGTCAAACAGACATCTAAAAATATCAATTTTGCAAGAGCAATCAATGACCAAGTATTCAATCATTCAGTGTCTTGTCTCGACACATATATGTAATGCATTACAATATAAAACTGTTTAACGTTCACTCAGACAAAATATGCGAAGGTGCCATGGAAAACTGCCCTGAAGGAATTTCCATTAATGGCGTAAGCATAAATAACCTTAAATACCCTGACGACACCGTTATAATCGCGGACTTCTTGGGAGATCGTCAGACTTTGTTTGACCGTGTGGTGAGTAATAGTGCAGAATTTGGATTAAATTTAAACAAAAAAACCAAATGGATGGTCATTGCTGCATTCAAAGTTGGAATATTTTGGACACATTCCCAAAAAGGAAAAATACAGGCTTCTCAAATTAATAATAGAAGCAAAGATCACACAAGGCACTTAGAGACGAAGAAAATATTAGTCAGATAAGTAGATAAGTCATATAAGTAGTGCAAGACTCTTCGGAACTACATCAGATACGAAGAATGTCAAATGTACAAAGAATTGCAGTTTCTGAATGGTCTGCTCGAAACCAATTCAAGTTTTTCAAAATTTGACAGCTATCAGGAGATACTTTAAATGAAAAACGAATTTATGGCAGATTTTTAAATAACGTCTAGTTCCGTCAATATTAAGCTGACAAGAAAATATTAAATAGAAAAGGTGTAGGAAACGGCCTTTTAAAAAAAATGACATAATACATTTCGATAAGTTAACTGTCATTTTTTCCATATGACATAAACTTGTGTTCTTTAAATGGCAACGGTATCTGATTATGCCTTTATTAAGTAGAGCATTTTATTACGCTTTCAGTGATCATATCATTAGGGTTTTTCTCAAATGAAGTACCTGCGAATAATTTTTACTTCATTAATTTAGTTGATCGAAGTTATCCATGGAAAATAGTAGAAGGCATCCATTGTTTCCATAATAAGAAAGAGTAACTAGATCTAGTTATAAATTTAAGTTGGGTTCATTGTAAAAATGAATTATTCCAAGATTCCATTAGTTGGACGAGCCTCTGATTGCTATTTTGAGAGGTATTTTGACTGTTGTCAGCCATTCTTGAAAACATTCAAAAGATTATACAATAATTTGGAAACTTATGGAAGTTTTATATCGCCAACAATTGAAGACAAAGTAGTAAATGAAGGTGCGGAAGTTAATGTCTTGGCCATTATAACCCAGAAACCACGTACTTCAACTAGAGAGATTGCAGCTTAGCTGCAATGTGTGTTCCATAGCTCTTCATTAGCTGGGTAAAAAGTGCAGTGCTGCCGAATGAATCGCAGATGTATGTGAAGTTTTTCAACGGAATCATAAACTATTTTCAACAAAAAAGGAAGGAAACCCATTTTACAAATGGATTCAGTGTACAATGTAAATATAACCTGATGTTACGTGATTATTTAAGCAAATTTACAAAGCATTGTTCCGATTAAAATATCATTTGGTTCATTATAAAATGTATTGACAAAAATGAAGTTTTCTTGGAAAAAATGTAGTGACTCAAATAGTATAAATTTAATATAGTTGCCATATATTGCACACAAACCACTACAATTTTTAAGGGTGTTCGTTGTTAATGAAAAATAATATTTTCGGTTGAATCCGGTTGTGCTGAATGAGACGTGAATATGCAGTAAAGGTACAGGCACATTTTTTTAAGTGTCTCATCCAATTTACTACACTGACACAATAACATAGAACAAGTAAGCCTATACAAATACCTGGGACGCGACATAAGGATTGGAAGAAACAATCAAACACACGAAATAAAGCGTAGAATAGGTTTAACCCCGGCAGCTTATGGAAAATTAAGAACATTTTTCCGATTCAGTCTTCCAAGGTGGTCAAAGAAGAAGGTATTTAACCGATGCGTTCTCCCGATTTTAACATACAGCTCAGAGACTGTCGTGCCGGGGAATCCCATATTACTGGGAAACCCCTTTTGGCTGATAAATGTATGCGTGTATAGCAAAAGCGCGCGTGTTTTGCAGGGGAACCCCATTTTTACCGGGATAAATGGGCACGCATAGCGAGACCGAAGTTAGTTGATTGCACAGAACATACCCCCTGGCCTCACCCAATGACAAATTACTCAAATTAATTTCTTAACCGAATATCAATTTTACAAGTATAATTAAATGAAAGTACACAACAATATTCCGGGTATCAAAACCTCGAAGAAATTTCGCTATATAAGAAAACCCCCGTTCACTCATTTTCTTTCAAATTTTGTTTATACCGATTTGCTTCTCTAATCATTCTCTAATAATCTCGTAAGTTGACCTAGAATCGGCTACGTTGCATTATGGGTGCGCCACATATATTCCAAATAGCAAACTAACGGCAAACTGCTGGAAATTTCTGCCAAAAAAAAATTCTGTGGAGCGACATCTACAATAGCGAGGTTCGAAATAGCATGTAAATCCCGCCCTATTTTGTTTCTATTCTAAGGGGGGATATTTTGTGGTTGATTGTAGGTTTACTTCGCGATACCTTCGGTCATCTCGGGAGGGCGCCTGGACATTAATTTAAGATTATAGTGCTTGGCATAGACTATCAAAAGATAAGTCCATTTTTATCTAACCGCTCCCTTAATTGCGAGTTTATTGGTACCCGCTGTACGTACGTTCCTAGGTGATTCCCCCTTTGGCTGCCGCAATACGTGATCATTTAATTCTAATTTACTTTTAATTAATTAATTAATCTCAACGATTAATTTTTAGATCTAAATTAAATAACCTTCTTATTTCCTTGTTGGTTACGGTTAAACCAACTGGTATCCCTGAAGGAAATAAGAACGTAATTAAATTTTGTTTTTTGACGACCCGTTGGTCCGTATTATTAAGTTTTAGTTTATGTTGTATTTTTTGCCTATTCCTATAATATATGTATACAGGGTTGCTCATTAGTGCGTCAAAGTGCGATATCTCAGTAAATATGAACTTTACAAGAAAATATGTCCTACGAAAGTTTTTCATGTTTAAAAGGTCCACATTTTAAAATTACTTTCCAATATACGGGGTGTATCATAAACGTGTGGTAGTTACCAACTTTGGTTTTTTAAATGGAACCGCCCCTTTTTTCATTCATTTTCAGATTTGTCGTCAAAATTTAAGTTAAGTTTGTGTCAAACGTTTTACCTGAACAATTTACGATTTCCGAGTTATTCGTAAAAATGTGAAAGTTTTGACAGCTACTGGGTTCCACAGAAATCGATGCTGTACACTACCCGCTGCGAATTTTGGAAAACAGTTTTCAGCAATTCTAACAGAACATCATGATCTACG